GAATTGACCTTACATAGTAGGGAGGAAAAGTCATGTCTAGTAAGATTAGGCTATTGTAATTGCTGATTTTCTTAACTGAAGAACTTTAAAAATGTAGAAAATGACTCCTTGCTCTCCATCCACTCTTCCTCTCCCACTCCTCTCCTCTTCAAAACAAATCCTGTGGTCTGGGAAAGACAGGGACCCTGTCTTGATTGGTTGTGCACTGGGGCAGAAATCTAGTTTAGATTAACTGGCATTTTGGTTTTCTTCTAGCTCTAAAACCAGCTTCATCACTTGAAGTGGCAAAATAAATCATGAATGAGGCCGTGGGCAGTGGCTCATGCCTGTAATCCCAGCACTTTGGGAGGCCGAGGTGGGAGAATCATGAAGTCGGGAGATCGAGACCATCCTAGCCAACATGGTGAAACCCCTTCTCTGCTAAAAATAGAAAAATCAGCTGGGTGTAGCCGCGCATGCCTGTAATCCCAGCTACTCATGAGGCTGAGGCAGGAGAATCACTTGAACCGGGAGGCAGATGTTGCAGTGAGCCAATATCGTACCACTGAACTCTAGCCTGGCGACAGAGCCAAACTCCATCTCAAAAATAAAAATAAATAATAAATAATCGGCCGGGTGCGGTGGCCCATGCCTGTAATCCCAGGACTTTGGGAGGCCAAGGTGGGCAGATCACAAGGTCAGGAGATGGAGACCATCCTGGCTAACGTGGTGAAACCCCGTCTCTACTAAAAATACAAAAAATTAGCCGGGCATCGTGGCGGGCGCCTGTAGTCCCAGCTACTCGGGAGGCTGAGGCAGGAGAATGGCATAAACCTGGAGGTGGAGCGTGCAGTGAGCCAAGATCTCAGAACTGCACTCCAGCCTGCCACTCCAGCCTGAGCGACAGAGTGAGACTCTGTCTCAAAAAAAAAAAAAAAAAAAAAAAAAAAAAGGCCGGGCGCGGTGGCTCAAGCCTGTAATCCCAGCACTTTGGGAGGCGGAGACGGGCGGATCACGAGGTCAGGAGATCGAGAGCATCCTGGCTAACCCGGTGAAACCCCGTCTCTACTAAAAAATACAAAAAAACTAGTGGTGGCGGGCGCCTGTAGTCCCAGTTACTCGGGAGGCTGAGGCAGGAGAATGGCGTAAACCCGGGAGGCGGAGCTTGCAGTGAGCCAAGATCCGGCCACTGCACTCCAGCCTGAGCAACAGAGTAGGACTCCGTCTCAAAAACAAAAACAAAAACAAAAAAAAACAAAAAAAACAAACAAAAAACCATGGATGATTGGTGTCGTTTAGGGGATAAGTCTTTGAAAGAACCTTCCTCTGAAACTGGCTCTGTACATTTAAATAAGAATACTGCAAGTCATCAAAGCCTTTAGCAAGTCTGACTCTTGGAGTGAGCTTTTGTTTTTCTTGGTCTATAAAAGGAAAAGGGGACTATACTATTCACATTTTGCTTTTGAATTGAGGTATAATTTACATACAATGAAATGCAGAGGTTTTTTTATACAGGATCTCTGGTGCTATCACAGCTCACTGCAGCCTCAACCTCGCCAGGCTCAAACGATTCTCCCACCCTAGCCCTCCAGAGTAGCAGGGACTACAGGTGTGCACCACCATGCCCAACTAATTTTTGTATTTTTTTTTTTGTAGAGATAGGGTTTTGCCATGTTGGTCACGCTGGTCTCAAACTCCTGACCTCAAATGATCTACCCACCTTGGCCTCTCAAAGTGCTGGGACTACAGGTGTGAGCCTCTGCACCCAGCCATGGTCTGAAAATCTTGATTGAAATACCTTTTCATTTCCAGACAGCGCTATTTAAAATTACAACACCCTCAAGACACACTTTATCCTCCATTCCTGCTGCTTCTCCATAATATTTATGACTAGCTGACATTCTATGTAATGTATCCATCCTTTATTTCGAGTACCACAGAACGTAAACTCCAGGATGGCAGCAGAGATTTTTGTTTTGTTTATGTACATCTGTATCTTCAGTAGTTAGAACAGTACTTGGGACCTAGTTGCCACTCAATAAACATTTGTTGAATACATTAAATAATAAACTAAACTACATTAGTTCTTCGATTAATTTTTAAAAATATGGTCATTAGTAGTGAGTAACATTCAAAAAATAAGTTGAAAATGTGTACCTATTGCCTGTTACCCACAATAAAAAAGGGTAAATTCAAGGAAATTTTCTTTTGTGCTTTATGAAAATTGTTTTTCATATTTGGAGCCATGTCAATCAGATTAAGGAAAATGCAAGTTTTGTTTTCAGAGAGATAACAAGATTTATAAATAACCATCCTCTCCCTTGCCCTTCAACATTTTAGCTAAACAAAAATAAGAGGAAAACAAGATTTATAATTTATCAATTTATTGAAAATCAGAGCCAGAGAAGCAGGAAATGACATTGTAGGAAAAAACTGCTTTTGAAAAAGCACAAAACTGCCGGGCGCAGTGGCTCAAGCCTGTAATCCCAGCACTTTGGGAGGCCGAGACGGGCGGATCACGAGGTCAGGAGATCGAGACCATCCTGGCTAACACGGTGAAACCCCGTCTCTACTAAAAAATACAAAAAACTAGCCGGGCGCAGTGGCGGGCGCCTGTAGTCCCAACTACTCGGGAGGCTGAGGCAGGAGAATGGCGTGAACCCAGGAGGCGGAGCTTGCAGTGAGCTGAGATCCGGCCACTGCACTCCAGCCTGGGCGGCAGAGCAAGACTCCGTCTCAAAAAAAAAAAAAAAGAAAAAGCACAAAACTTACTCATGACAGAGTGATCAAAAAAATCCTCAATAGTGTGGCATTTAGATCCCTTTCTCTTTACATTTCCATGGAACAGAGTCATAAAAATAGGATGTTCTTTCTCATTCTGGCAAATTAAACCATCAATTAAAAACTCAGATACATAAAAATTAAAGATGTAAGAATGAAAGTTAATGCTAAATTTTTATTTTCAGTCAGCTATTGTATGTTTTCTAGTTTTTCATTGCTTTTTTCCTGTTTTCTGTTAGATTACTTTTTTTTTTTTTTTAGACGGAGTTTAGCTCTTGTTGCCCAGTCTGGAGTACAGTGGCGCCATCTTGGTTCACTGCAACCTCTGCTTCCCAGATTCTAGTGCTTCTCCTACCTCAGCCTCCTGAGTAGCTGGGATTACCGGGGCATGCTACCATGCCTGCCTAAATTTTGTATTCTTAGTAGAGATATGGTTTCACCATGTTGGTCAGGCTGGTCTCGAACTCCTGACCTCATGATTCGCCCGCCAAGGCCTCCCAAAGTGCTGGGATTACAGATGTGAGCCACCACACCTGGCCTAGATTAATTTTTAATGGTTTTTTAGACTCATATGTATGGAAAGCTCTAGGATGGGGATCATATTTCACTTCCTTTTAATACAGTACCCAGTATAGCACAATTTGCAGTTATGTCTTAATATGTGATTCCTGGCCGGGCGCGGTGGCTCAAGCCTGTAATCCCAGCACTTTGGGAGGCCGAGACGGGCGGATCACGAGGTCAGGAGATCGAGACCATCCTGGCTAACATGATGAAACCCCGTCTCTACTAAAAAAAATACAAAAAAAACTAGCCGGGCGAGGTGGCGGGCGCCTGTAGTCCCAGCTACTCGGGAGGCTGAGGCAGGAGAATGGCGTAAACCCGGGAGGCGGAGCTTGCAGTGAGCTGAGATCCGGCCACTGCACTCCAGCCTGGGAGACAGAGCGAAACTCCGCCTCAAAAAAAAAAAAAAAAAAAAAAAAATATGTGATTCCTGATCATGACTGGAAACAGTGTTATTTGTGGTAGCTATAGGGTAAGTAAGGATTTCATCCTCCTTTAGGTTTCTTGAACTAAAATTCCTTCTGCTGGCCTCTAAGTCAGTATTGGCAGTTGTTTCCGATAATTGGTAGTTCTCTGTAACTTTTTACCTATGACTATAACATTTTTGACTTTCAGAAGAATTTGCTAAAATGTGTACACCAGTGGGTTGTTGTTTTTCAACCTAAACCTAGCTGCTTTTTCCAGTCACTTATCCGTATTGGAAGCTCAAAATGCAAATATACAGTAGGCCTAAAATATTGCCTGGTTTCAAAGTGCTTAAAATATTTGAATCATTTTTATAGTAAACATTTACTCTCATCAGGACCTAGAAGAGGAACATTTTAATTTTTTTCGTATTCCCTTTTCACAGTCTTCCTTGAGCATTCATTACCTTTTTACATATTGGAGTTTTCATCTGTTCAAAGTTTGTGTTTACAGTGTGTTTATATAGTTTAGATTATAATTACCATACTGAAATATAATTATTTCAGAATTGAGTCAGTGGTGAGAATGAAAGCCATCTGGTATGATAACTGAATCCAATTTTTCTTTTACGGAGAATTTCTTTGAAATGTAGCTTATCTCAGAAATAGGGATTTAGTAACAAATCAGTTTTCTTTGTCAAGGTTGTTTCTCTTTTTTTTTTTTTTTTTGAGACGGAGTCTTGCTCTGTCACCCAGGCTAGAGTGCAGTGGCGTGATCTCGGCTCACTGCAAGCTCCGCCTCCCGGGTTCACACCATTCTCCTGCCTCAGCTTCCCCGGTAGCCGGGACTACAGGTGCCCGCCACGCCCGGCTAATTTTTTGTATTTTTTTTTTTTGAGACGGAGTCTCGCTCTGTCGCCTGGGCTGGAGTGCAGTGGTGCGATCTCGGCTTGGCTCACTGCAAGCTCTGCCTGCCGGGTTCACGCCATTCTCCTGCCTCAGCCTCCCGAGTAGCTGGGACTACAGGTTCCCGCCAACACGCCCGGCTAATTTTTTGTATTTTTTTTAGTAGATACAGGGTTTCACCGTGTTAGCCAGGATGGTCTCAATCTCCTGACCTCGTGATCCGCCCGCCTCGGCCTCCCAAAGTGCTGGGATTACAGGCGTGAGCCACCGCGCCCGGCCATTTTTTGTATTTTTAATATAGATGGGGTTTCACCGTGTTTGCCAGGATGGTCTCGATCACTTAAGCCTGGGAGGTGGAGGTTGCAGCAATCCCAGATTGTGCCACTGCACGCCAGCCTGGATGACAGAGCATAACCCTGTTTAAAAAAAAAAAAAAACCCATAATATTAAATTATTTGAAAATGAGATTAAATAATCATTACTTTAAGTGCTTCTTCATATTCTCCTAAAAGGACAAAAAATATACACCATGATAGTTCTTCACACACCCCAAAAGATTCTATTATTTTTAAATTATTTTTATTTTGTACACATCCATTCATTCAAGAATCTATAAGATTAAGTGTAGCCAATTCTAAAGATGGACTGTATAACATGAGGAATGTATTATAGTTAATCATATATTTATGATTTTTGCTAAATGAGTAGATTATGGCTGGTTTCTGGGGAGGGCTCAGGGCACCACAGGGCCACTATAATGAGATGATGGATATGTTAATTTGCTTCACTATAGTAACCACTGCCACGTAACATTGTGATCAACCACGTGTATGATGGTGATCCCGTAAGATTATAATGTCCATTTTTACTGTACCTACTGTACAAATGCAACACTGTGGGAATACTTTTATGTCTTGAACTGGGAGGCATATTAATCTCAGAGGACTGGCATGTTAAATATGAAAACCTCCCAATAAAGCTGTCCTTAGGGTCCATTCAAAGGCATCATCCTATACACAAAAAACTGCTATACAATAAAATCCCCTATGTAACTAATGTCCATCAGTGCAATGTTAATTTGTAGTATACCAAATTCCAAACTCTAAAATTAATACTGCAATAAGGTTTGAGTACAAATAGAAATGCCTCAACGAGCAGATTAAGGCTTTTAAATAAGCTGAACAGACTCTCTCAGGGACTCACCTTGACTGTTGATGGATACCTATAAAAGGAAAAAAAACAACAGTGAATTATATGTGTCTCATCAATTGAGCATTTCTGTTACTAGGACCAGCCCCATAGGACAGACAAAAACTCAGGCCAAGCCTTCAGCTTTTCTGTATCACTTGATAGTCATGAATAATACTTAAGAAATGTTATTGCTTATCTACTGTGCCCTCCTTTATTTCAGATACATTAAGAGGCAGTGCAATATAACAGTTAGGAGCTTGAGTTCTATAGCTAGAGGGTATGGACTGAACCCTGACTTTACTACTTCCAAGTTTTTATGCGTTTAGGCAAGTTATTTCACCTCTCTGTGCCTCAGTTTCCTCATGAGTAAAATAGTGATGATAATAATGTACTCAATAGATGGCATTGTTGCTAGTCTGCCACACTGTAACCACTCAATAAAGCTTAGTCATTAACCTGGGCAACAAAGTGAGACCCCATCTCTCCAAAGAATTAAAAAATTTTGCCAGATGCAGAGGCATGTCCTAGCTACCCATAAGGCTGAGATGGGAGGATTCCTTGAACCCAGGAGCTCTAGGTTGCAGTGAGCTATGATCATTCCAATGCACTCCAGCCTGGGTGACAGAGTAAGACCGTGTCTCTTTAAAAAAAAAAAAAAAAAAAAAAAAGCCTTAGCTATTATATTTGTATTATTATAAACTGAATGGCTTGCACTATATGTGAACTTAAGGTCACTACATAATTTTTTTTTTTTTTTTTCTGAGACGGAGTCTCGCTTCGTCGCCCAGGCTGGAGTGCAGTGGCGCAATCTCGGCTCACTGCAAGCTCTGCCTCCCGGGTTCATGCCATTCTCCTGCAGCAGCCTCCCCAGTAGCTGGGACTACAGGCGCTCACCACCACACCCGGCTAATATTTTGTATTTTTAGTAGAGACGGGGTTTCACCATGTTAGCCAGGATGGTCTCGATCTCCTGACCTCATGATCCGCCCGCCTCGGCCTCCCAAAGTGCTGGGATTACAGGCATGAGCCACCACGCCTGGCCACTACATAATTTTAAAAGTTATCTTGGCCAGGTGTGGTAGCTCACGCCTGTAATCCCAGCACTTTGGGAGGTCGAGGCGGGCCGACTGCTTGGGCCCAGGAGTTTGAGACCTGCTTGGCCAACATGGTGAAATCCCATCTCTACTAAAAATACAAAAATTAGCCAGGCATGGTGGTATAAACTTGTAATCCCAGCTACTCGGGAGGCTGAGACAGAAGAATCACTTGAACCCAGGAACTGGAGGTTGTAGTGAGCAGAGATTGCACCACTGCACTCCAGCCTAGGCGACGGAGTGAGGCTCCGTCTCAAAAAAAAAAAAAAAAAAAAAGTTATCTCAGGCCAGGCATGGTGTCTCACACCTGTAATATTACCCAGCACCTTGGGAGGCTGAGGTGGGTGGACTGCTTAGGCCCAGGAGTTCTAGACTGGCCTCAGCAACATAGTGAGACCCCATTTCCTTTTTATTTTTTTTTAAAGTGAAAGTTATCTCTGAGCTATTCTTCAATGTTGCTTCTCCGTTTCTCAACTCTATCTCAGATGCTGCAAGTCTTCTTAGAATATTCAATTATCAAATATATTTAAACCACCACACAAATGAGCTAAACACTATTTTGAATTATTAAAGCCCATATCACTGGAGAAATAAGATTGCTATTCTGAACACCTAGCAATAAGTACCATAATATACTTTACCTCTTCATTTTCCTCATCCAGGTATTTTATTTGAATAGTATCCAGATCAAATGAAACTTTTACCTACAAAAGAAATACACATTTAAAGGCAGGTTATAATGTATGCAGAAGTCAAAAGATGAGCTGTGCACATTTCATTACATATTAAATATTTTATACAGTTAAAAAAATCCACAAAATCAAAAGACAAACAACAAACAACCGTAACAACCCATAACAAAGGGTTAGTATCTGCGACACACCCAGAGCATCAGCAAAACTGCTAATGATACAATTAACAACTCAGGTAAAAATATACATAAAATTCAGAGAAGAGGAAATCAAAACACCTAACAAGCACATCAGAAGATTTTCAAACTTTCTGGTGGTCAGAACAATGCAAACTGAAGCAATGAGATGCCATCTCATCTGAACAGCAAATTTTGTGTGTGTGTGCGCGTGTGGGAGCACAAAAAATGGGAAGACTTGGGTTCCAGACACAGCTCTGGCCCATTACTAGACATAAAACTGTGAGCAGGTCAGTTCACCTTTAAGATTCAGTTTTTAGCCGGGCGCGGTGGCTCAAGCCTGTAATCCCAGCACTTTGGGAGGCCGAGGCGGGCGGATCATGAGGTCAGGAGATCGAGACCATCCTGGCTAACATGGTGAAACCCCGTCTCTACTAAAAATACAAAAAATTAGCCGGGCGCGGTGGCGGGCGCCTGTAGTCCCAGCTACTCGGGAGGCTGAGGCAGGAGAATGGCGTAAACCCGGGAGGCGGAGCTTGCAGTGAGCTGAGATCCGGCCACTGCACTCCAGCCTGGGTGACAGAGCAAGACTCCGTCTCAAAAAAAAAAAAAAAGATTCAGTTTTTAATCTTTAATCTATAAAAGAGGTCTAATATGTCTGCTCTGCCTGTCTCACAGTGTTACCATAAGGATCAAATTAAAAATGTATATGCAAGTTCTTTCAAAATGTCACTCAAATATAAAAAATATAATAAAGGTCAGGCACAGTGGCTCATGTCTGTAATCCCAGCACTTTGGGAAGCAGAGGCTGGCAGATAGCTTGAGTCCAGGAGTTCCATACCAGCCGAACCAACATGGTGAAACTTCGTCTGTACCAAAAATACAAAAATTAGCTGCATGTAGTGGTACAGGCCTGTAATCTCAGCTACTCAGGAGGCTGAGGCAGGAGAATTGCTTGAACCTCGGAGGCAAGGTTGCAGTGAGCCAAGATCATGCCTGTGCACTCCCGCCTGGGTGATATAGCGAGACTCTGTCTCAAAAATAAAATAAAAAATTGGCCCGGTATGGTGGCTCATGACTGTAATCCTAGCACTTTGGGAGGCTGAGGCGGAAGGATCATGAGCCTAGGAGTTCAAGACCAGCAACCCCATCTCCTTAAAAAAATTAAGTTAAATTAAACATTTTTAAAAATAATAAACCAGTCTTTAGAACCATAAACCTGTACTGTTTTCGACAATATAATGCACTGCCCTGTCAAACACTCCAATTAAGACTGTTATTTTAAGGATCCTGAACTCTGTGAAGATCACGCACTTTTTTGAAACCCTAAGACAATTATCCCCCAATTTTCTCCATTCTTTGTTTCTACCTAGAACCAAGTGCACCACAAAAATACTACTACTCTCTTAATAACAATCCTGCTGACATCTACTATTCATTCATATGAAATGTAATTATTGGGGTCCTTAAAATTTGGGCAGAATCTTTGTCAATTCCCCAGGACCTCAGGCAAAAAATCAGGGAAATGAAGTGACTGACTTAGTCTGCCAAAAGCAGATGTTCAGAAATACCACTTTCCAACTTCAAGAAACACACTTCCTGCCCAGGCGCGGTGGCTCACGCCTATAATGCCAGAATTTTGGGAGGCCGAGGCGGGTAGATCATGAGGTCAGAAGATAGAGGCCATCCTAGCTAACACGGTGAAACCCCCGTCTCTACTAAAACCACAAAAAAATTAGCTGGGCGGGGTGGCGGGCGCCTGTAGTCCCAGCTACTCAGGAGGCTGAGGAGGCAGGAGAACGGCGTGAACCCGGGAGGCGGATCTTGCAGTGAGCCGATATCGCGTCACTGCACTCCAGCCTGGGGGACAGAGGGAGACTCCGTCTCAAAAAAAAAAAAAAGAAAAGAAAAAAAAAAAACACACTTCCCTACTTGTGAAGGAAATTAATCTTCGCATCTTTTTCTCAAATTACACAATTGGAAATTAATTTAAATACTCTGGAGCTCCTCCAGCTGGTGGGCCAACTAAGAGAAAACAGGAAGTGGGAGATTATAGCTTTGGCTGACAAGTAAAAAAAATTCTTTCAACAAAAGCATTAATCTTGAACGTGTGTAAACACCAAAGTTATGGTTAATCCTATCTGCCCCTTAGGTCTACAGCCAGTATAGTCAGATAGCTGGGACCTAGGCCTTCAGCTTGCTTGCTTTTTTTTTTTTTTTGAGACGGAGTCTCGCTCTGTCGCCCAGGCTGGAGTGCAGTGGCGCGATCTCGGCTCACTGCAAGCTCCGCCTCCCGGGTTCACGCCATTCTCCTGCCTCAGCCTCCCGAGTAGCTGGGACTACAGGCGCCCACAACTGCGCCCGGCTAATTTTTTTTTGTATTTTTAGTAGAGACGGGGTTTCACCGTGGTCTCGATCTCCTGACCTTGTGATCCGCCCGCCTCGGCCTCCCAAAGTGCTGGGATTACAGGCGTGAGCCACCGCGCCCGGCCCTTTTTTTTTTTTTTTTTTTTTTTTGATACGGAGGTGTGTTTTTTTCTTTTTCTTTTCTTTTCTTTTCTTTTTTTTTTTTTTTTGAGACGGAGTTTTGCTCTTGCTGCCCAGGCTGTAGTGCAATGGCGCGATCTCGGCTCACCGCAACCTCTGCCTCCCAGGTTCAAGCGATTCTCCTGCCTCAGCCTCCCTAGTAGCTGGGATTACAGGCGTGTGCCACCACGCCCGGCTAATTTTGTATTTTCAGTAGAGACGGAGTTTCTCCATGTTGGTCAGGCTGCTCTGGAACTCCCGACCTCAGGTGATCCGCCCGCCTCAGCCTCCCAAAGTGCTGGGATTACTGGCATGAGCCACCGCGCCCGGCCTGGTCTTCAGCTTTCATAACTGGCATGACTTTAAGTCCATGCCACTGACGCACCTTGGCTTGGCACAAGTTAACTTTTCCTCTACGTCTTTTTTTTTTTTTTTTTTCTCAGCCTTAACAAAATCCCTTTAATGAAACAGACCTGGCAACCTGAGCTTTGATTACTGTCTCCACCAGAGGCCTGTACAAGACAAGTTATTCAAACTTTAAAATGTGCGACCCGAGGCCGGGAGCAGTGGCTCATGCCTGTAATCCCAGCACTTTGGGAGGCCGAGGCAGGAAGATCGCTTGAGCTCAGGAGTTCAAGACCAGCCTGGGCTGGTGTTTGAGACAGTAAGACTCTGTCTCAAAAAAAAAAAAAAAAAGTGTGGCCTGAAAGCTGGATGTTTGACAAAAAGGAAAAAGAATGCCTTTCCAACACCGAAGGTCCCTAACCAAGGAGAGCTCTTTAACAGGGTCTCGAAAAAAGGAGGATGGGATGAGAAAGATGTGTAGGTAGTGTCATTTTTTTTACTTGCAGAGTTCATCCTAGTCTTCCAGTTATCGTTTCCTAGCACTTAATGTTCCGAAGACAGTGTCACCACCCCGAGGACTCTCTCTCATTTTCTTTGCCTGGGCCCTCTTTCCACTGGGGAGTCGTGGCCTTCCATCAGCAGAAGTCGATGTTCTCAACCACATACTCTACAACTCTCCGGCGCTTTTCGCCCACTCGGTCCCTCTGAACACGAAGGGCTCTCTCATCCTGTCACTAAAAAGATTAGCTGTCCCGAGACACGGGAAAAGTCGCCCCTCTTCTTTGCAGGATTCCTCCCTTGAACTTCTCCAAACCCTCTTACGGTGACGTGACCCCACCCCTAGGTAACCGAGGCTGCTTCCTTACCAGCTTCCCGCTCCAGTGAGGCGCCCGGCGGAGGCCAAAGCCAGAACCGTCCGCTGCCAGCTCTGCCACTATCCCTGTGGGGTGAATCTAACAAGGCGCATAAAGACTAACTAGTCCCGTTACTCCCAGTTTTCGCCAAGATGATTGGCTCTTACCACTTGTCCCTCAAAACGACCACCCCATTGATTGGTGGAGATTGCGTCGACGGGGCGGGGCAGAAGAAACCGGAGCCGGACAACAATAACAAACATTGGGGCCGAGGGGCGGAACTACGAGTGCGCAGACGTGAGCCAGAGCGGATTTCCCCTTCCCCAGACAAATTCGGCGCCCACTGGGTCGCCACAGGTCGGTGACCTTAGAGGACTGTTTGCCCGAGACTCGTGGGGCTGGATGGGAATTGTAGTCTTCCTAAGAGTTGTAGGTATTTTTTTTAGGCCTAGTTTTTCCTTTCAAGATACGAAAACATAACAACACTCCAATCCATAACTGTTGACGTGTATAAGCGCGTGGAGGTCTCCAATCTATCCGCTGGATTTCCGTGAGAATTGTGCCCGCTTCGCTATTGGATGTTTCTCTCCATAAGACTACACTTTCCACAAGGAACACTGTGGCAACGACCTTTCATTCCGCAGCGAATGCTGGAAATAGTTCTTTCCGTCCACCCCCCCCCCCAACAATCCTTATTTCTTATATTTACCTAAACTAGAGACCTCCATTAGGGCGGAAAGAGTGGGGGAATGGGACCTCTTTTTACGACTGCTTTGGACACTAGGTAGCGATTCTGACTCTCGTATAGCAATTACTGTGACGTAATAAGCCGCAACTGGACGCGTAGAGGCCAGAGGGCCGGCACTTTAGGGCAAACTAGGGTAGAATTCTTCCTCTCCCGTCTCTTTCGTTTTACGTTATCTGGGGGCAGACTGGGTGGCCAATCCAGAGGCCCGAGAGAGACTTGGCTCCTTCTGTCCCGCCCTTCCTCTGATTGTGCCTTGATTTCGTATTCTGAGCAGCTGTTGCTTAGCGGTAGCCAGCTGGTTTCCGTGGCAACGGAAAAGCGCGGGAATTACAGATAAATTAAAACTGCGACTGCGCGGCGTGGGCTCGCTGAGACTTTCTGGACGGGGAACAGGCCGTGGGGTTTCTCAGATAACTGGGCCCCTGGGCCCCAGAGGCCTGCACCCTCTGCTCTGGGTAAAGGTAGTAGAGTCCCGGGTCCAAGTGATGCTTTGGGGGACTGGCGTGGGAGAGAGAGTGGGTATTCTTTTGGGGGGGGGAGCGGTGGCGGAAGCTGAGAGGCGTAAGGAGTTGTGAACCCTGGGGAAGGGGCAGTTTGTAGGTCGCGAGGGAAGCTCTGAGGATCAGGAAGGGGGCACGGTGTGTCCGAGGGGGAATCATCGTGATAGGAACTGAAATATGCCTTGAGGGGGACACCACGTCTATAAAAACATCGGCTGGTCACGAGGTCAGGACTTCCAGACCAGCCTGACCAACATGGTGGAACTCCGTCTCCACTAAAAATACAGAAATTAGCCGGGCGTGGTGGCGCTCCAGCTACTCAGGAGGCTGAGGCAGGAGAATCGCTAGAACCCGGGAGGCGGAGGTAGCAGTGAGCCGAGATCGCGCCATTGCCCTCCAGCCTGGGCGACAGAGCGAGACTCTGTCTCAAAAAAACAGACAAAAACACCGGCTGGTATGTATGAGTGGATGGGACCTTGCGGAAGAAGAGATGCCAGGAATACGTCTGGGAAGGGGAGGAGACAGGGTTTTGTGGGAGGGAGAACTTAAGAACTGGATCCAATTGCGCTATTGAGAAAGCGCAAGAGGGAAGTAGAGGAGCGTCAGTAGTAACAGATGCTGCCGGCAGGAATGTGCTTGAGGAGGATCCTGAGATGAGAGCAGGTCACTGGGAAGGTTTAGGGGCGGGGAGGTGCTGATTGGTGTTGGTTTTGTCGTTGATTTTGGTTTTATGCAAGAAAAAGAAAGCAGCCAGAAACATTGGAGAAACCTAAGGTGACCACCACTTACCCGGTCAGTCACTCCTCTGTAGCTTTCTCTTTCTTGGAGAAAGGAAAAGACCCAAGGGCTTGGCAACAATATGTGAAGAATTACAGAATGTATGTTGTTTAATTACAAAGAGCCACTTCTAGAACCTTTAAAAAAATAAAGGATTTTGTCATTAGCTCTATGGTTTGTATTCTAAAACCTTCAAAATCTTAAATTTACCTTATTGTAAAATGATAAAATGAAGTTGTCATTTTATAAACCTTTTTTCAAACTATATATATGTATATATATATTTTTTCTAATGTGTTTAAGTTCATTGGAACAGAAAGAAATGGATTTATCTGCTGTTCGCGTTGAAGAAGTACAAAATGTCATTAATGCTATGCAGAAAATCTTAGAGTGTCCAATCTGGTAAGTCAGCACAAGAGGGTATTAATTTGGGATTTCTGTATGATTATCTGCTATGCAAATGAACAGAATTGACCTTACATAGTAGGGAGGAAAACACATGTCTAGTAAGATTAGGCTATTGTAATTGCTGATTTTCTTAACTGAAGAACTTTAAAAATATAGAAAATGATTCCTTGTTCTCCATCCACTCTGGCTCTCCCACTCCTCTCCTGTTCAACACAAAGCCTGTGGTCCGGGAAAGACAGGGACTCTCTCTTGATTGGTTCTGCACTGGGGCAGGAATCAAGTTTAGATTAACTGGCATTTTGGCTTTTCTTCCAGCTCTAAAACCAGCTCCATCACTTGAAATGGCGAAATAAAATCATGGATGAGGCCAGGGACGGTGGCTTAACGTTTGTAATCCCGGCACTTTGGGAGGCCAGGGTGGGAGATCACAAGGTCAGGAGATAGACACTGGCCTAGCCAACATGGTGAAACCCCCTCTCCACTAAAAATACAAAAATTAGCTGGGCATAGCGGCGCGGGCCTGTAATTCCAGCTACTCAGGAGGCTGAGGCAGGAGAATCACTTGAACCGGGAGGCAGATGTTGCAGTGAGCCAGTATCACACCACTGAACTCCAGCAACAGAGCTAAACTCCATCTAAAAAAAAAAGAGATCATGGATGATTGGTGTCCTTAAGGGGATAAGTATTTGGAAGAACCTTTGTCTGAAACTGGCTCTGTACATACAATGAAATTACATACTCATTTACATACAATGAAATGCAGAGGTTTTTTTTATACAGGATTTGTGTCAAGAAGCTGGAGTGCAGTGGTGCTATCACAGCTCACTGCAGCCTCAACCTTGTCAGGCTCAAGCAATCCTCCTGCCTCAGCTTCCAGAGTAGCAGGGACTATAGGTGCACACTACCATGCCCAGCTAATTTTTTTTTTTTTTTTTTTTTGTAGAGATAGGGTTTTGCCATGTTGGCCATGCTGGTCTCAAACTCCTGACCTCAAGTGAGGCCTTGGCCTCTCAAAGTGTTGGGATTACAGGCGTGAGCCATTGCACCCAGCCATGGTCTGAAAATCTTGATTGAAATACCACCTTTTCATTTCCAGACACTGCTATTTAAAATTACAACTCCCCCAACACACACTTTATCCTCCATTCCTGCTGCTTCTCCATAACACTTATGATTAGCTGACATTCTATGTAATGTATCCATCCTTTAGTCCCATAGAATGTAAACTCCAGGACGGAGAGATTTTTGTTTTGTTTTCGTACATCTGTATATTCAGTAGTTAGAACGGTACTTGGGACCTAGTTGCCACTCAATAAACATTTGTCAAATACATTAAATAATAAACTAAACTAAATTAGTTCTTTAATTTTTTAAAATATGGTGATGGTTAGTAGTGAGTAACATTCAAAAAATAAGTTGAAAACTTGTACTTATTACCTCTTACCCACAATAAAAAAGGGTAAATTCAAGGAAATTTTCTTTCGTGCTTTATGAAAGTTGTTTTTCATATTTGAAGTCAAGTTAATCAGATTAAGGAAAATGCAAGTTGTGTTTTCAGAGAGATAACAAGATTTATAAATAACCATCCTCTCCCTTGCCCTTCAGCATTTTAGCTAAACAAAAATAAGAGGAAAACAAGATTTACAATTTATCAATTTATTGAAAATCAGAGCCAGAGAAGCAGGAAATGACATTGTAGGAAAAAACTGCTTTTGAAAAAGCACAAAACTTACTCATGACAATCAGAGTGATCAAAAAAATCCTCAATAGTGTGGCATTTGGATCCCTTTCTCTTTACATTTCCATGGAACAGAGTCATAAAAATAGGATGTTCTTTCTCATTCTGGCAAATTAAACCATCAATTAAAAACTCAGATACATAAAAATTAAAAATGTAAGAATGAAAATGCTAAATTTTTATTTTCAGTCAACTCTTATATGTTTTCTAGCTTTTCATTGCTTTTTTCCTGTTTCCTGTTAGATTAGTTTTTTTTGTTTTTTTTTTGAGGTGGAGTCTCGTTCTGTTGCCCAGGCTGGAGTGCGTGCAATGGTGTGATCTCAGCTCACTGCAGCCTCCACCTCCCAGGTATCAGCGATTGTCCTGCCTCAGCCTGCCAAGTAGCTGCGACTACAGGCGGGCGCCACCACACCCAGATAATTTTTGTATTTTTAGTGGATACGGGGTTTCACGATGTTAGCCAGGGTGGTCTCAGTTTCCTGATCTCGTGATCCGCCTGCCTTGGCCCCCCAAAATGGTGGGATTACAGGCATGAGCCACCACCCTGCCTAATTTTTTTTTTTTTTTTTGAGACGAAGTTTCGCTCTTGTTGCCCAGACTGGAGTGCAATGGTGGGATCTCAGCTCACCACAACCTCTACCTCCCCGGTTCAAGCGATTCTCCTGCCTCAGCCTCCGGAGTAGCTGGGATTGCAGGCATGTGCCATCACGCCAGCTAATTTTGTATTTTATAGTAGAGACAGGGTTTCTCCATGTTGGTCCAGTTGGTCTGGAACTCCTGTCCTCAGGTGATCTGCCCGCCTCAGCCTACCAAAGTGCTGAGATTACAGGCGTGACCACCACGCCCAGACTTTTTTTTTTTTTTTTTTTTTTTTTTGAGATGGAGTCACACTCTGTCACCCAGTCTGGAGTGCAGTGGCTCCATCTTGGTTCACTGCAACCTCCGCCTCCCAGGTCCAGGCGCTTCCTCTGCCTCAGCCTTCTGAGTACCTGGGATTACAGGCGTGCACCACTGTGGCCGGCTAATTTTGTATTTTTAGTAGCGATATGGTTTCACCATGTTGGTCAGGCTAGTTTTGAACTCCTGACCTCGTGATCTGCCAGCCTTGGCCTCCCAAAGTGCTGGGATTACAGGCGTGAGCCACCGGGCCTGGGTTAAGATAAATTTTTGATGGTTTTTTAGACTCATTTTTATAGAAAGTTCTAGGATGGGGATCATATTTCACTTCCTTTTAATACAGTACAGTATAGCACAATTTGCAGTTATGTCTTAATATATGATTCTTGATCATGACTGGAAACAGTGTTATTTGTGGTAGCTATAGGGTAGGTAAGATTTTCAGCCTTTTTTAGGTTTCTTGAACTAAAATTCCTTCTGCTGACTTCTAAGTTGCTATTTGGCAGCTATTTCTGACAATTGGTAGTTCTCTGTAACTTTTTACCTATAACATTTTTGACTTTCAGAAGAATTTGCTAAAATGTGTACACCAGTGGGTTGTTGTTTTTCAACCTAAACCTAGCTGCTTTTTCCAGTCACTTATCCGTATTGGAAGCTCAAAATGCAAATGTACAGTACGCCTAAAATATTGCCTGGTTTGAAAAGTGCTTAAAATATTTGAATCATTTTTATAGTAAACATTTACTCTCATCAGGACCTAGAAGAGGAACATTTTAATTTTTTTCGTATTCCCTTTTCACAGTCTTCCTTGAGCATTCATTACCTTTTTACATATTGGAGTTTTCATCTGTTCAAAGTTTGTGTTTACGGTGTGTTTATATAGTTTAGATTATAATTACCATACTGAAATATAATTATTTCAGAATTGAGTCAGTGGTGAGAATGAAAGCCATCTGGTATGATAACTGAATCCAATTTTTCTTTTATGGAGAATTTCTTTGAAATGTAGCTTATCTCAGAAATAGGGATTTAGTAACAAATCAGTTTTCTTTGTCAAGGTTGTTTTTCTTTTTATTTTTTTTTATTTTTTTTATTTTTTTTTTTTTTGAGACGGAGTCTCGCTCTGCCGCCCAGGCTGGAGTGCAGTGGCCGGATCTCAGCTCACTGCAAGCTCCGCCTCCCGGGTTCACGCCATTCTCCTGCCTCAGCCTCCCGAGTAGCTGGGACTACAGGCGCCCGCCACCGCGCCCGGCTAGTTTTTTTTTTTGTATTTTTTAGTAGAGACGGGGTTTCACCGTGTTAGCCAGGATGGTCTCGATCTCCTGACCTCGTGATCCGCCCGTCTCGGCCTCCCAAAGTGCTGGGATTACAGGCTTGAGCCACCGCGCCCGGCCGTTTTTCTTTTTAAAGTCACATTTGGTCCCAGTAATAACACCAACATTGGTACAAGTCATCTCAGGTTTTGAAGCATTTTCCCAAGTGGCATTTTATTTTGTTCTTGCAATAGCCCAAGGAGACTGGCAGGGTGAATGACAGAGAAGGAAACTGCGGTTTAGGTAGAGTGGTTAGCTCAAGGTGGCTCTGCTTATATACACAACTGGTAGTAGAAACCCAGCCTTCTGACTTAGTTCAGTGTTTTTGTTTTCACTGCCCTGTGCTGCATCAGAAATTACATGATTACAAGAATTGTATTACCAAACCCTTTACAATAAGATTACTGTCCCCGAGCTTTTCTTGTGATCCTTTTCTTTTTTTTTAAATTTTTTTGAGATGGAGTCTCTGTCGCACAGGCTGACCCGCCTCAGCCTCCCAAAGTGCTGGGATTACAGCGTGAGCCCCTGCACCTGGCCCTTATGATCCTTTTCTAAAAAGTTAAATATTTAATGAAAATAACCACATTCTTGTCACACTACCAGGTTACTTGTTCTTTGATGTCCTGCCTGGACTTTACCCAAGAAGTTGGTTTCAAAAGTTTACATTTGGCCGGGCGCAGTGGCTCACGCCTGTAATCCCAGCACTTTGGGAGGCCGAGGCGGGCGGATCACAAGGTCAGGAGATCGAGACCATGGTGAAACCCCGTCTCTACTAAAAATACAAAAAATGAGCCGGGCGCCGTGGCGGGCGCCTGTAGTTCCAGCTACTCGGGAGGCTGAGGCAGGAGAATGGCGTGAACCCGGGAGGCGGAGCTTGCAGTGAGCTGAGATCCGGCCACTGCACTCCAGCCTGGGCGGCAGAGCGAGACTCCGTCTCAAAAAAAAAAAAAAAGTTTACATTTAGGGCTAAGTGTAGTGGCTCATGCCTGTAATCCCAGCTGAGGCAGGTGGATCACTTGAGGTCAGGACTTCAAGACCAGCCTGGGCAACATGGTGAAACCCTTTCCCTACCAAAAATACAAAAAAATTAGCTGAGCGTAGCAGCACGCGCCTGTAGTCCCGAAGGCTGAGGCACAAGAATCACTTCAATCGGAGAGGCAGAGGTTGCAGTGAGCCGAGACCGCATCACTGCACTCCAGCCTGAGCCGTAAGTGAGTGAGACTCCATCTCCCCACCCCACCCAAAAAAAAAGATTCACATTCAGAAGAAAGCTAAAGACCAGGTACAGTAGCTCACACTTGTAATCCCAGCACTTTGGGAAGCCAAAGCAGGAAGATTGCTTGAGGCCAGGCATTCAAGACCAGCATGGGCAACACAGTGAGATCCTGTCTCTACAAAAATTAATTAACATTAATTTTTTTTTTTTTTTTTTTTTTTTTTGAGACAGAGTGTTGCTCTGTCACCCAGGCTGGAGTGCAGTAGCGTGATCTCCACTCACTACAAGCTCCGCATCCTGGGTTCACGCCATTCTCCTGCCTCAGCCTCCCGTAACATTAAAGATTTTAAAAATGGCCGGGCATGGTGGCTCACTCCTGTAATCCCAGTACTTTGGGAGGCCGAGGCATGGTGGTGTGTGCCTGCAGTCCCAGCTACTCGGGAGGCTGAGGCAGGAGAATCATTTGAACACATGAGACGGAGGTCACAGAGAGCCGAGATCGAGCCACTGCACTCCAGCCTGGGAGACAAAATGAGACTCTGTCAGAAAAAAAAAATGAAAAAGACCAGAATAAAGCTGAAGATTTTTTTTTTTTTTTGAGACGGAGTCTTACTCTGTCGCCCAGGCTGGAGTGCAGTGGCGGGATCTCAGCTCACTGCAAGCTCAGCCTCCCGAGTAGCTGGGACTACAGGCGCCCACCACCTCGCCCGGCTAGTTTTTTGTATTTTTTAGTAGAGACGGGGTTTCACTGTGTTAGCCAGGATGGTCTCGATCTCCTGACCTCGTGATCCGCCCGTCTTGGCCTCCCAAACTGCTGGGATTACAGTCTTGAGCCACCGCGCCCGGCCAAAGCTGAAGATTTAAAATAGCCTCCAGGTTCCTACCAGGAGTTACCAACTACCTCTCTGATGGTCTTTCCCTACAATATCCCGCTGGATTATTATATTTTAGCACCTTGACCTATCTGATGTCCTGCATACATAGGCATGGTCCTGCTTAGGGTTTGCCTTCTCTGCTCCCTCTTTCCTGGAACGCTCTCCCCCTAATTGTTTCATAGTGTGTTTCTTTACATTATTAAGCTGTTCTCTAGTCTCACCTCAGTGACACTTTCCTGACCCCCTCCATGTACATCTCACCCCCACATACATATTGAACTACCTGTTTCCCCTTACCCTGCTTAATTTTTCTCTTTAATATACTTATTCCCATGTATTCTTTAATTCTGCATCAACTGTCTACCACACTAGAATGTGAGCTCTATGAGAGCAGGCTTTATTTTGTAAACTGCTGTATTTCTATCTCCTAAAATAGTACTTGAGTATAGTAGTAGATACTTAATAAACACTTGTTGTATTAGTATAATAAATGAATTAATCTCAGGAAGGCCTTGGTTTTGTGGATAGACAGGTAGGGATGGGAACTTGGGTGATGTATTTTCTAAAGTTTTAATTTTTTAAGCTTATTATTATTATTTTATTATTATTTTGAGACAGAGTCTAGCTCTATTGTCCAGGCTGGCGTGCAGTGGTGCGATCTTGGCTCACTGTAACCTGCACCTCCCGGGTTCAAGCGATTCTCCTGCCTCAGCCTCCCAAGTAGCTAGGATTACAGGTGCCTGCTACCCTGCCCAGTTAATTTTTGTATTTTTAGTAGAGACAGGGTTTCACTGTGTTGACCAGGCTGGTCTCGAAATCCTGACCTTGTGATCCGCCCTCCTCGGCCTCCCAAAGTGCTGGGATTACAAGAATGAGCCCCTGCATCTGGCCTTATTTTCTTTTTCTTTTTTTTTGAGACAGAGTCTTCCTCTGTCACCTAGGTTGGAGTGCAGTGGCGCGATATTGGCTCACTCTGCAACCTCCACCTGTGGGATTCAAGTGATCCTTCTACCTTAGCCTCCAAAGTAGCTGGGACCACAGGCATGCCCCACCATGCCTAATTTTTGTATTTTTAGTGTAGACGAGGTTGCACCATGTTGCCCAGGATGATCTGGAACTCTTGAGCTCAGGTAATCCACCCACCTCAGCCTCCCAAAGTGCTAGGATTACAGGCATGAGACCAGGCCTGGCCTTAAGTTTATTATTTTCTAAATTTCCTTTGGTGAGTACTTTTTACACTGTTTTTACAAAGTAATCACAAACCAAACACCATGCCTCTTCTGAAGTGATCTAATAAGAGTACACAGTACCATCTGTAAAGTCGTCTTGCCAAAAAGTTGAACCTGAATTTGATTAAGTGTATAAGTCTAGTTTACAGGAAATAAGGCTAGTGATACAAGTTAAACCTCACCATGGGGTTATACAATCAGCAAAATCCAGAATGTGATAAACTCCACAAGTCAAATGACCTAATTTTAAAAATAAATGTTAAGGGAGGAAAAGTATGGGACACCTGTAGATTAGAAGACACTCGGGACTGGGCATGGTGGCTCACGCCTGTAATCCCAGCACTTTAGGAGGCCAAGGCAGGTGGATCACCTGAGGTCAGGAGTTCGAGACCAGCCTGGCCAACATGGTGAAACCCCATCTCTACTAAAAATACAAAAAATTAGCTTGGTGTTGTGGCGCATGCCTGTAGTTCCAACTACTTGGGAGGCTGAGGCAGGAGAATCACTTGAACCTGGGAGGCAGAGGTTGCAGTGGGCCAAGATCGCACCATTGCATTCCAGTCTGGGCTACAAAAGCGAAACTCCATCTCAAAACAAAGAAGACACTTGGATTGGGTGTGTTGGCTCTTGCCTGTAAACCCAGTGCTGGGAGGATTGCTTGAGCCCAGGAGTTCAAGGCTGCAGTGAGCTGTATTTGCACCAGTGCACTCCAGCCTAGGTGACAGAGTGAGACCTCATCTTAAAAGTAATAATAATTAAAATAATCTGGGGTGGGGTGGATATGGATGAAACAACTTGGCCATGAGTTGATGATTGTTGAAACAGGGTGATGGTCCATATAGTCCATTTTATTATTTTATTTACTTGAAATTTTGAAATACTTAAAATTTTCCATATTGATTTATAAAGGCATTTACAAGGCCGGGCGCGGTGGCTCAAGCCTGTAATCCCAGCACTTTGGGAGGCCGAGACGGGCGGATCACGAGGTCAGGAGATCGAGACCATCCTGGCGAATACGGTGAGACCCCGTCTCTACTAAAAAATACAAAAAAACTAGCCGGGCGAGGTGGCGGGCGCCTGTAGTCCCAGCTACTCCGGAGGCTGAGGCAGGAGAATGGCGTAAACCCGGGAGGCGGAGCTTGCAGTGAGCTGAGATCCGGCCACTGCACTCCAGCCTGGGCGACAGAGCCAGACTCCATCTCAAAAAAAAAAAAAAAAAAAAAAAAAAAAGGCATTTACAGTAAAATTTTAAAAAAAAGGGCTAGGAAGGAATTCAAAAGAAATATAAGCAGAAAATTTTGTCTTTATAGAGCTTAGAGTTAAGATTTGAGATGGGCACCCACAGTGATAGTGCAGAAAAATATATCACTGAAAATGAATTTGTACCAACTATTATCACGTAATCTTTTAAATGCTGATGATAGTATAGAGTATTGAAGGGATCAATATAATTCTGTTTTGATGTCTGAAAGCTCACTGAAGGTAAGGATCGTATTCTCTGCTGTATTCTTGGTTCCTGGCACAGCAGACATTTAATAAATATTGAATGAACTTGAAGCCTTATGTTGACTCAGTAATAACAGCCCAGAGTTGAACTTATTCATGAAGAATATCTTTATTTTTAAATAAATTATTGAGTCTCATTTATTTTCTTTTTTTTCCTCCCTTCCCTACTAGTCTGGAGTTGATCAAGGAACCTGTCTCCACAAAGTGTGACCACATATTTTGCAGGTAAGTTTGAATGTGTTATGTGGCTCCATTATTAGCTTTTGTTTTTGTCCTTCATAACCCAGGGAACACCGAACTTTATAGAAGCTTTAGTTTCTTCAATTAAGTGAGAATGAAAAATCCAACTCTATTTCATTCTTTCTCAGTATACAGTCATCAAAAGTTGGTTGTAATCATAGTTCCTGGTAAAGTTTTGACATAGATTATCTTTTTTTTTTTTTTTTTGAGACAAAGTCTCGCTCTGTCACCCAGGCTGAAATGCAGTGGCACGATCTTGGCTCACTGCAACCTCTAGCCCCCAAGTTCAAGCAGTTCTACCTCAGCCTCCCGAGTAGCTGGGACTACAGGTGCCTGCCACCACGCTTGGCTAATTTTTGTACTTTTAGTAGAGACGGGGTTTCACCATATTGGCCAGGCTGGTCTCGAACTCCTGACCTTATGATCCACCCTCCTCGGCCTCCCAAAGCTCTGGGATTACAGGCGTGAACCACGACACCCGACTGACATATATTATCTATTAGGATGTAATATCATTTTGAACAGTGTTTTGTATTTTTTGCGTCCACCAGTGAAAGCAAACTGTAAGCAGTTGTGAAATAAGCAAATTGTGTTTGAGCCTTCTCAGTTTCTCCTTTCTGTTCATTCTGCATATCTTTATGCATTCCCCCTTTTAAGGGTCAGTGTTTGCCTGCTTCATAATCCTTGCGAAGACAGTAAAGGACGTGAGACTAGTATCTATTTAGGCCGAAATTCATTTATAGTGGTGATTCAAGTTATATTTACGTATTTGATTATCTTGACCTTTGAAATGAAAATGTTTGTTTCTTAATAAAAGAATTTCAGAAAAAGTAGAGTAGGTAATTTAGTAGAATAAGTGGGCTTTCTCCTTTTCTTTATGTTAAGCTATGGCTCACAGCTTACCTTAAATGTCAACTAATTTATTTTTAAGTATTTATGTACCTGGTACATTACCTGGTAGCAGGTACAAACTATGTACTTGGTAAAAAGTTTATTGGCACAAAAAGGTATATGATGCAAAGTATATTTCCCTCTTACCCTACAATCCCTGCCTCCCTGTTCCCTGCCCAGACAACCACAATGATCAATTTCTTATGTATCCTTTGAGGAATTTTTGAATTCCAGAGTTCTTAACTTGGGGTTTATGAATAGTCCTTATGAATTTCCTAGAATTATATTTAAATTGTGTTAAAAACTATGGCCATGTACATTTTTCTGGGAAGGTAGTCCATAATTTTCATCAGATTATTAGGATGTTTCCATAAGCTAAAAAAGGGAACAGCTGCTTCTCTAAGGATAATGAGGGCTGGCTGAAGCTGAAGGAAACCTGTTCCCATTGGAGAGAGACCCTGTGAACACAAGTCTGCCAGCTGGCTGGTGCCTTCCTCTGAATTCTGTCTTTTTCTTCCCATTCTTCTGTCCCAGTAAGAATTCAGAAGCTCATTTTCACTGTCTTTTCCCTGTGCCATGTCATGCCACTGGCCTAAATCTGTTCCCAGCAGTTTCCATCTGATTCCGCAGCCCCTGGTCCCTGGACATGCGCCAAGACAACACAGCTTTATCTCTCTACTTCAGGAATTTTTAGTATAGCCTGGCGCGGTGGCTCACGACTGTAATCCCAGCACTCTGGGAGGCCGAGGCAGGCGGATTATGACGTCAGGAGTTCAAGACCAGCCTGACCAACATGGTGAAACCCTGTCTCTACTGCAAATACAAAAATTAGCAGGGCATGGTGGTGCAGCCCTGTAATCCTAGCTACTTGGGAGGCCGAGGCAGGAGAATCGCTTGAACCCGGGACGCGGAGGTTGCAGTGAGCCGAGAGCCAAGATCGCACCAATGCACACTGCACTCCAGCCTGGGCAACAGAATGAGACTCCGTCTAAAAAAAAAAAAGCAAATAATTTTTAGTTTAATAATTTTGTGGCCTCTACAGCAGTACTTCTCAAACTGCCTATGGTGTAGGACCAATTTCTTCACAGGTCAGTACTTCCGAAAAAGAAGGCCAGGCGTGGTGGCTCCAGCCTGTAATCCCAGCACTTTGGGGGGTTGAGGTGGACAGATCACTTGAGGTCAGGAGTTCGACACCAACCTGGCTAACATGAACATGGTGAAACCCCATCTCTACTAAAAATACAAAAATTAGCCGGGCATGGTGGTGCGCACCTGTAGTCCCAGCTACTCGGGAGGCTGAGGCAGGGGAATCACTTCAACCCGGGAGATGGAGGTTGCAGTGAGCTGAGATCATGCCACTGTACTCCTGCCTGGGGGGAAAATGAAGTTTAAAAGTCCCATTATTGGCCAGGTGCAATGGCTGAGGCCTGTAATCCCAGCAGTTTTGGAGGCTGAGGCAGGTGGATCACCTGAGGTCAGGAGTTCGAGACCAGCCTGGTCAACTTGGTGAAACCTCGTCTTTACTAAAAATACAAAAGTAGCTGGGCGTGGTGGTGCATGCCTGTAATCGCAGCTACTCAGGAGGCTGAGGCAGGAGAATCTCTTGAACCCTGAGGGTGGATGTTGCAGTGAGCTGAGATCATGCCACTGCATTCCAGCCTGGGTGACAAGAGGGAAACTCCAAAAAAAAAAAAAAAAAGTCCTAGTATTTACTATAGATAGCTAAAGATTAACCTTATAAGTGCTGGGGCTTTCAATTTCTCTGGATGAGACTCTTTCTGGAATGAACTGTATGTTTTCTTGTCACCTTGAGTAACAAATGCTGAACATACTATATTATTACAGTGACTTAAGAAAAGATTAAGGGTCCAGTGTGGTAGCTCCTGCCTATAACCCCAGCACTCTAGGAGGCCAAGGCAGGAGGATTACTCGAGGCCAGGAGTTCGAAGCTATAGTGAGCTATGATCACACCACTACACTCCAGCCTAGATGACAGAGTGAGACCCTGTCTTTTTTTTTCTTTTTTTTTTTTTTGGAGACAGTGTTTCACTCTATTGCCCTGGCTGGAGTGCAGTGGCGCCATGTCAGCTCACTGCAACCGCTGCCTTATGGGTTCAAGCAATTCTCCTGCCTCAGCCTCTCAAGTAGCTGGGATTACAGGTGTCTGCCACCACACCTGGCTAATTTTTGTATTTTTAGTCAAGATGGGGTTTCACCATGTTGGCCAGGCTGCTCTTACTCCTGACCTCAGCCACCTTGGCCTTCCAAAGTGTTGGGATTACAGGTGTGAGCCACTGCGCCAGGCTGACCCTGTCTCTTAAAAAAAAAAAAGAGAGTGATTAAATTATGAACATTAGTTGCTTTGAGAACTTGTGGAAGAAGGAAATTATAGGCTTATAGAAATGTACAAAGAAACGAAAATAGAGGCCGGGCGCAGTGACTCACACTTGTAATCCCAGCACTTTGGGAGGTCGAGGTGGGCGGATCACGAGGTCAGGTAATCAAGACCATCCTGGCCAAAATGGTGAAACCCTGTCTCTAGTAAAACACAAAAAAAACTAGCCTGGCATAGTGCACGCACCTGTAGTCCCAGCTATTTGGTAGGCTGAGGAAGGGGAATCACTTGAACCTGGGAGGCAGAGGTTGCCCTGAGCCGAGATCATGACACCGCACTCCACCCTGACGACAGAGTGAGACTCCATCTCAAGAAAAAGAAAAAGAAAATAGATTACATCCATGAAAAAGAAACTAACTTTGCATATGTGTATAGGAGTTGTGTTAGAAAAGGAAGAAGCCCTCAAAAATGGGGAAGATGTTTGCAAGAAAGAGAAGGTCCAAGAGGAGACAGAAGGGATTGGAAATAGAAAATGGATGTAAGAAAGAGTTAATTATTACTCATAAACAGTAATGAAGGAAAAGGAAAGTAATTCTACAGGAAGATGCTGAGGTGCTTTGAGCCCAGTGACGTAGGAGGTAAAGGCAACTGTTGAGATTGAGAGGGTTAGAGTTGGCAACTGGAGAAGAGTGAGAAGCTTGAAACCCCTAATAATGAAGATTGTGATAATCAGTAAAGAACCAGTCATATAGATATATATGTGTGTATACATATATATTATAGAAATATGTTATATATACGTGTGTGATACATATATATGTTTGTTTGTTTGAGACAGTGTCTCCCTCTGACACCCAGGCTGGAGTTCAGTGGTGTGATCATAGTTCACTTTTACCTTGCACTCCTGGGCTCAAGCAATCCTCTCATCTTAGCCCCCCAAGTAGCTAGGACTACAGGTACATGGCATTTGCCCAGCTAATTTTTTAAGTTTCTTGCAGACATGGGCCAGCCATATTTTAAATTGTGTTTTGAATGTTATATTAAAAGTCCAAAGCCGGGCGTGGTAGCTCATGCCTGTAATCCCAGCACTTTGGGAGGCCAAGGCAGGCGGATCACGAGGTCAGGAGTTTGAGACCAGCCTGGCCAATATGGTAACCCCATCTCTGCTAACAATACAAAAATTAGCCAGGCGTGGTGGCGCACGCCTGTCATCCCAGCTACCTGGGAGGCTGAGGCAGAGGAATCGCTTGAACCCGGGAGGCAGAGGCTTTAGTGAGTTGAGATCGTGCCACTGCATTCTAGCCTGGGCAACAGAGCAAGATTCAGTCTCAAAAAAAAAAAAAATGTCCAGTATAATGCCCATGTGCTAGATTGACTTTTTCATGATATTACTTCTGTAATATCAATATAATCTGAATAATACTTTGATCTATATGATGAGAAAGCTGGGAGCCTGGGAGCGATACCCCCATGCTTTGATTGTATTAATTGTATTTTCTACGGATAAACTCTAATTGCTAAAAATAAAACAACTTTTTTGACCCAAGCAAGCCTAAAGTTCTGAAATCTTTTTTTGTTTGTTTGTTTTTTGGGTTTTGTTTTGTTTTGTTTTGAGACAGTCTCGCTCTGTCGCCCAGGCTGGAGTGCAGTGGTGCAGTCTTGGCTCACTGCAAGATCTGCCTCCTGGGTTCTTTTCATTCTCCTGCCTCAGCCTCCCGAGTAGCTGGGACTACAGGTGCCCGCCACCATGCCCGGCTAA